GCTGCGGAGCTCTTGGAGTGTTGGGGAGGACAGCCAGACTACAGCGGAGAAAACAGGAAGTAAGGAACGGGGACAACCAGGCCTCTTCAACTCTTTCAAGGAGTTTTGTTATGAGAACTATTCCAGTAAGGCAGAGCTGTTGTCTGTAGACTTTAATTTTAATAATGCTTATTAGGAAAATCCAGACATGTGGAGCTGAAATAAGGGCCTGATGAAATTTCTAGGGAAAGACACAAGAAATAGAGTCAGGAAAATGTGTTTTTTGGTGTCAGAAGACTCACAAGAAATCCACCTGGATCGGATCATGGAAAGTTGAAGATGAACAAGCATCAGAGAAAATAATAATGGGGCATCTGTATTTCTTCTCAGGATGGTTCATTGTGCCAGATTTGTGATGTGGATAAAGAGACACAGGGACCTTCAGAAAGAATTTTAACAACAACAATGAAAAAAGAGCAAATCAGAAGACACTTAATTGGGGAACAAATATTAATCAAAAGGCTATGCTAACCAATAAACCACAAATGTCAGTGGCTTAATAAAAGTAAAATGATATTTTACTTGTCTTATGTTCTATTGTAGGTTGGGTAATTCTTCTTCAACCTGTAGCTTCACACTACGACATGTGACCCACAAGACTGAAGTGAATCGGGAAGGGAGCACAGAGTCACTCTTCGGAGTGTACCGATCCCAATGGACAGAATGCAATCCCATGGCTACACCTGACGGCATAAGTCTGGTAATTGTACTCTATGGGCTTTGAAGAGGAGCATAGTAGACACTGGTGAGCATCAGCAAAAACTGCTGTGGTTTGAATCTGAAATGTCCTCCAAAGGCACATGTGTTGAAGGTTTAGTACCCAACTCATGTTGCGTTGGGAGATGATTGTACCTTTAAGAGGTGGGGCCTACTTGGATGAAGTTAGGTCATTGGGACCCCAGCCCTATCCTGTTTCTCTTTGCTTTCCTGTTACCATGAGATAAACAGGCCTCCTTTGCCATGAACTTTCCACTATGATGTACTGTGCCAACACAAGCCCAAAGCAAAGCAACAGTGCCAAGTAACCATGGGCTGAAGCCTCTGAATCTGTGAGCCAAAACAAACCTTTTCTCCTCCTAAGTTAATTATGTGAGGTATTTTATCACAGTAATGGAAAGCTGACTTACACACCACTAGAGAATGAAAATCTCACATAAGGTGATTTTAATGGGCCTTGAAGTGTATTTGTTTGTTTTATTGTCCTCATAGGCACACATGTCTAAAGGAATAAATACAAATGGGTATTTTCATCCATAGCATGAAATCATTGGCAGCATAGTGCCTAGAACATGGGCCTAAATAATTATTGATTAGTTAATGTCTTGACATTTAAGAGAGTGAGAAAATAATGAAAGGCTTTTTTTTCCTCCCCCTCCAAAGGTTGAAATATTCTGGTTTTGCTTTCTTCTCATGTTTTTCCACATGCTATATTTTTGGCTGCTGGTTTGGAGGCCATAATCAGGGGTAAGGAAGAGAGATGCTTAGGAAAGCAGAGTAGTTCCGCCTGTTTAAAACTGGCCACTAAAAAGTCTTTGCTCTTTCTTTTCTTTTCAGAGGGGAACATTTGGAAAGGAACATGGCCTGACGGAGTGTCCAACCAGATGGGCATGGTTTCCCGAGCTCTGGAAAGGGCCTCAAAGGGTCCAAAAACCTCCTAAGTGCCCACTAATGTGGGAAACCTCTAAAACACTCTGTTGCAGAAATGGAGGAAAATAATTGAAGAAAAGGTTTCAATCCTTTTGCAGGAGGCAACAGCTTATCTAACATTCCTGCTCAAAAGTGAATGATAGGGCTGGGATTGTGGCTCAGCGGTAGAGCACTCATCTAGCACGTGCGAGGCCCTGGGTTCCATCCTCAGCACCACATAAAAATAAATAAATAAAATAAAGGTAAAAAAAAAAAGTGAATGATAAAAATCAAGTTTGCAATTCATTAATTCAGCAGACGTTTATTAAACATTTTGTCTATCTGCAAAGCATTGAACCAGATACAGTGGATGATATGAAAAATGAATGTGCTAGTCCCAGTTTGTAAGGAGCTAGTTGGAGTCATTTAAATAAATATCTTATTAGATTATAAGATGAAATGATTCTGAATAGATGAGAGAAGTAATATGGAGTGGGAAGGAGGGGTGCTCGACCTCAGACCACAAAGAGCAAAGGCCCTGTGGTGAGCACAGTTCTGTCAGAAGACTTTGGAATAGTGGGTGCTCTCTGGCTGTTACACTAACCCTGCATGCATCGGCGGCTGAGGTCTTGTCCTGCCTGGGTCATGGCACTCCAGGGACATTCCTCCTAGATGGTACACCAGGTATGGATTAAGGCCTTGGAACTGTGGGGCCCCTGGGACATCCCAGCAAACTCCAGAATGTGGATTCGAATGAAGGCCTGGGCCAGGGGTGTAGCTCAATGGTAGTGCTCTTGCCTAGCATGCGCAAGGCCCTGGATTCGATCCCTGCCACTGCAGAAATAATAACAATAATAATTAATTAAATAAAGACCTCAGGATATTCTGAGATTTAGGACATTAGCAAGATGGACATTTAATATCACACTAAGAGTCTGAAGATCGTTCTGAAGGGCAGAGAGTGAGTCAAAGTTTTGGGAGAAAGAGTGGCACAATTCAATCTGTCCCTCAGAAAGCTCACTGAGCTCTGACCAAAAGAATGGATTAGGGGTAGACCTGAAGTATGCAGAATATCTGAAAGAACAGCTCTTCCCTGAGAGGCAGACACTTTCCAACCTACCCGCAAGTGATCTCCCCCATATTTTCCTAGTCCCAGGTACCTGCAGAGAAAAGAGTCTTCACATGATCACAAATGTTCCACTTTGACTGTCTGGATAACTCACTCCTATATACAATGCAGTATCCCAAGTTCTTACAAAGCAGGCCTGTACCCCAAATAATTGGAGGAGTTCCAGAAGGTCTCACATTAGGCCCCACAGGTCCTGTCTCTCTCTAGTACACCCATCCACTTGCTCCCAAGTTCCCTCTTGAAGCTCCACTTCTTGAGCAAACAGCCCAAACCCTCAGAGGCAATGCTAGCTGTGGGGTCTAGGAGAGTGAGAACAGATGACAGGAATTCTCTACCCACATTTTACTTGAATCTTAATGTGTAACAGATCCTAATGTGACCAGATCCTTCAGTTTTTATTTATATTGATCCTCTCTCTCTCTCTCTCTCTCTCTCTCTCTCTCTCTCTCTCTCTCTCTCTCTCCCTCCCTCCCTCCCTCCCTCCCCTCATATATTTTTTTTAAACTAGGAACTGAACCTAGGGGCTTTTTACTGCTGACCTATATCCTTAATTCTTTTATTTTAGATTTTGAGACAGGGTCTCACTAAACTGCTAAGTCTGGCCTCAAACTTGAGATCCTCCTGCCTCTACCTCCCAAGTCACTGGGATTGCAGGACTTTGCCCCACCATGCCCAGCCTCCTTCAGACCTGGACTTGCATGCAGGGGGTTGGACTGGAGCTCAGTCTCTTCAAATCTTAGTTCTCTGCCTGTTTTATTTCGGTCTGGCCTCATCAAACTTGGAACTCTCTCCCCTGTGGAGGAGTTCTGGTCCCTCAGGCAAGCTCTCCTCACAGGCCACCCCACGGATTGTCAGAAACACCTGAGCAGTGGGCACAGCTTGAGTTTCCTTCTCAGGTGGTTCATAAAAGCTTAAGGTGATCAATGGTTCACAAGTTATACCTGGACAAGGGTAAGCCCCCACTGAGCTGAAACCACATCATATGCTACCTCATGATGAGCATGACATTTCTCGTGTCAAGGACCTCTAGGGGCTGGGTATGTAGCTCACAGGTAGAGTGCACCAAGTGAGAGGCTCTGGGTTCTATCCTCAGATCTGCCCCCTGCCAAAGCATCTTTAGGTAATACCTGTAGAATAAGGGTGTTGAATTTGTAATGCCTTTCAGCTAGAGGGTTCTTAATTCTAAGACAAATTAGAAGGCTACCACAATGGTCTAAACATTGATGATGAGTACTTAGGGAAACATCAGAGAAAATGAAGGGAGGGTAGTGTTCATGGAGTAATAATAAAGACCAATTTCATGGAAACTTTGCTGTGTGATGGGTGGACCACATTCAGCTATTTACACACCTTGTCTAACTGAACTTCAGAACAACTGTGTGATATAGGAAATGCTGTTGTGGCACGAGGTGTTCTGTCACTGAGCTATATCCCCAGCCCTTTTTATTTTTTATTTTGAGACAGGATCTTGAGGAGGTTGGCCTAGAACTTGACATCTTCCTGCCCTCAGCTTCCAGAGTCTCTGGGATCACAGGCCTGCACCACCATGCCTGGGATCCTTGTTTTACAAATAAGGAAATGGAAGTCGAGCTTCTTATGTTTATACAGATACAGTAGCTAGGTTGGAATCTTAACCTGACTCCGGTCCTAGAGCCATGCTTAGTTACTATGCTACACAGCCTTTCATAATATTGATAGAAATGGAAAGCACTGGATCAATGAAAGACAAGGTAGGTTCATGGTACAAAGGAAGTCAGTTAACATACTATAGAAATGATCCTGAAAGGAAGATCAGAAAGGAAGGAAACTCACCTGGAGTCTGGCTTTCCCTCACTCACAGCTGAGTCCAATTGGTGTGGGTGTGCATGTCTATCTATCTGTCCACATATCTTTTACCCCCTCACACCCATGCATTCATCCATTTATGTTTCTATCTGTCCCCAAGCTTCTTTGGAAAATAACTCAAGGAAACCTAAATAAATAGGGAAGGAAAAACTCTTGAAAATAAAGATAAAAGAATAAAAGCTGCATAACAAAGAGGATTTTTTTTTTTGTAAAACTGGTGCAAATAAGCACAAAACTTCATTTCTGAGCATCTTGACTTCCAAGGTATAAAAAGAAACACCGTGAGTTACAGTTCGCATTAGCTTAGGAAAGGAAGCACGACCATCTGTCAGCAGAGACAAACTTTCATACTACCAAAATCTAAAACAGTGAACACACGGGTTTTATTTATTAAAATAAATAACATAAGGCCAGTATCTTCAAATGCAGATGAATCCCAATAAAGGCAGTATGCATAACATGAAATTTTCATTAAAGGATTCCAGGGTAATATCATCTGAAAATGGTCTGTCTGTGGTGGTTTCTAGACTTACACATTAGGAAATCCAGCCATGTGACCTTCTGCTCCTCTGTAGTTCAATACAGTCTCACCTTCACCTTAGCACTGGCTTCTTCATTTTGCCTAGAGGGAAACAAAACAAACAAACAACAAAAACAGAAGGGGATGCCAATTAGATACCTTCATAGAATGTGGAAGAGTCAGGAAGGCAAGACCACAGGCACCCAAGAAGATGTCACCAATGTGGTGACTGCCATGCAAGGAGTGAGAGACAGAAAGAATATGGCTTTTAAATGGCTTCAAATACTAGCCCACCACCTTAGAAAAAAAATCACAATGATACATTTCAGGTAACAAGACTTTTGTTCTTTCCTTGCATCTCCACAGCTATGAAGAGCTAAGCAGAGGGGAGACTTGCTGAAAGAACACAACCAGAGCTTCCCTCTACAGGTGGGAGGTGTCTACCTGAGTTTTGACTCAGGGAAGGTTCTTTGCATCTTGGAGCAAAATTGAAGGAAGGTAGAAGTGACATCTCTTACCACCTTGAAAAACACAGGTTACCGGCTAGCCAGTGAAGGATGTTGCAACCTGAGAGGCTATTTGCTTACAGGGAAGGAGACATGTTATTCAGGCACCCTTGACCTACTCACAGAACCCTAGATCAACAGCAAGTGTTAGAAGCTCTTCTTGAACCATGATAGTTAACTCAATCCACATTCTTTGGGGTTCCTCTTTGTGAGATGTTGCAAGTTTCTGGTTGTCACCACTATTTTTCCTCCTGGAGCTTCTGGGTTTGAAAACCATACTTCCAGCCATTGGAGGACAATGTAGATGCCTGCTTTCTCCTCTGCAGGAAGATTCAAGTGTGAGTATCTGGGCACCTGCCAGCCATCCTTTCTTTGCATTGCTAATGTCATTGGCCTAGTCAGATCTTTATAACTAGACTAGTGCTCTACAACCTTGTTAGTGTCATGGCACACAAAAAATAACATCATTCACTTTGTGTAATGGGGTTACAGGGCTGGAGGAAAATGGCTCGGCTCCAGCCAGGCCCTAGAAGGCCGCAGAGGTGGGCACAAGTATCCAAAAATTGTCATACTTATAACCCAGTCTGGGTGCACCCACTGGAAGTTCTGATCTGGAACACGGAAATAGATGCTTAATTTTGTCCCGTTTCTGTTCCCTTCCTTTGGTTCACATTGTACATATTGGCTAGGTTAATTTTCCCCAATTCAGCAATTTTCATTAGGTTACTTTGCTGCTCACATCATGAGCTTCGGCTGCCCATCACCGTTGGAGTTTTGTTTGGTTTTGTTTTTAATTCCTTTTAATTGTTGATGGACCTTTATTTATTTATATGTGGTGCTGAGAATCAAAACCAGCGCCTCACACATGCTAGGCAAGTGCTCTACTACTGAGCCACAACACCAGCCCCACCTGTCGGAGTTTTGATGTCCTTGACCTGGCAGTCCAGGGTTGCCACAGCGCTGCCTCTGGTTGTTTTCCAGGATCATGTGGCACAGGCCCTGAAGTCACCACTTCCTCCCATGTGTGCCTTTATCACACCACTCTTTTGCCTAGTCTGCTCTTCATGTTGTCCTTCCCATCTGCCCTTCAAGATCTAGATCAAATCACGTCACCTCCATGACACCATCCCATAACAGGGTTTTCAAAGGTAATTAACTAGGTTTTTTTTTTAACCTCTTTTCCAGTTTTATGGTCCAATGTTCTCCAAGTCCCTCCCTGTGTCTCAACAGCTCAAGGAGAAGAAAGGTTTAAACCAACCGTCCAATAAATTCAGAGGATCCCATAGTATGTCTTTCCCTCTTGAGATGCAAAGCATACATCTGTCTAAAAGAATTTATTAACTTTGTTTTAACCTTGAGTTATTCAAACTTATTTCAGCATGGAACTTTTGAACAATAACACTTATTAACTTCCCATGGGATTTGTTCTATAAAGTAGACTTTAGGAAACATAGCTGAGATCTTCCAGACCATATTCAAATAGGCTCTAGTCTCAAATTTAGCTTGCACTTTTACATTACAAGGTAGAAAAAGCTAATTAAACCTGATCACAAAACTAGATAATCTGAACTTCCTATAAATAATCTCTTTCCCAGCAATGCTCAGTACTGAATAAGAAAAGACATAACAGTGGTACCTCTCAACTGTATAAGATCTTAGATTCAGCTCTGTGTTTGGAACTACAGCAGAAGTTTGCTAGGATAAATTTGCTAGGATAAATTCAAGAATAGTACTACTACTACTACTATTAGTAGTTGTAGTACTACCAGTAGTAGTAGTAATAGTTGATAATGAGCACCTAAACCAGGGGCAGTGGCACACACTTGTAATCCCAGCGACACAGGAGGCTGAGACTGGAGGATCGCAAGTTCAAAGCCAGCCTCAGAAAAAGCAAGGCACTAAGCAACTCAGTGAGTCCCTGTCTTTAAATAAAATACGAAATTGGGCTGGGGATGTAGATCAGTGCTTGAGTACCCCCGAGTTCAATCCCTGGTACTCTGCCCCCCCAAAATGATCACCTCAAAAGAACAGCAATTGAAAGTGCTTTTTGTGTGTTTCAAATCTTTATAACAGCACTATTAGGTACGCTCTATTTTTAATCTCTATTTTATAGGTGAGGAAACTGAGACACAAAGAGATGAAGTTTCTTTCCCAGTTCACCCATCTATGGAAATAGCAGAATATTTCAAATCTAGGCCCTTGATCACCAAAGTCTTGCTCTTGATTCTGTTATGCTGCTCCTCAAGGAAATCAAAGTTCTTCACTCCCTTGCATAGGGAAGACGTTTTAGAGGTGCATCAGTCAAATGACAGCAACAGATTGATTAGATGCCTTCTTTATGCAGCTCTGCCTAAATATCTACTGATGTCTATGCTCAGAAGTCTAGTTTCCCTTTATTCCATGTGGGTAGTTTTGTCTCCATAGTTCATTTTAAAGATTGCATTGTACTTATTGTTTGTACTGTGAGTCTTGGCCTTTGACTAGAAGCAAATAAAAATTCTGACCTAGGAACTCTTCCCTTGTCACTCCACTGCAAAAGAGGTTTCTCCTTTCTATGAACTCCTTTGGCCTTTATTGTGTCTTCTATGTATTTGAACATATATTCTGTTTTGAAATCATAATTGCCTTGCCAAGTGACTGGGTCTTATCTTTCTAACTGGGTCTGCTCACTTAGTATTCCTTGCACTGTAATGCTCAGAGTACTTGAAGGTCCGTTGGCTGATTTGTGACTTCCAAATTCTGGAGCATTTCATAATTACACCATATGAACTCCTTTGGTCCAGCAGATTCATCTCTGCCTTCCTTTACCCTGCTGGTCCTCAGGGGGCTGACCCATGGGGACTCATCCATGGGCCCGGATGCTTTCTGGTCTCTGGTTTGATGCAGTCATCTGAAAGGAACAGCAGAGATGCAAGGTAGGGAGGAGAGAGAGGCTGGTACTCATCCTCCTAACTTCCTCCTTGTTAGTTACGGGTTGTCACGACTAAGCCACTGTACCCAGAAATTGGGTCAAGAACCATTTTAAGAGCCATTTATTAGCCTCATACTCCACAATCACTAGGAATTCCCACTCTTCTCTTGTTTTGTCTCCTGTCCTTTTGCAACTTCTTGGACACTTGACTGAAGAGTGAATGTCACCCCCAGCCACATGCCCTACATAAAACAAGTGCCACATGCCTCTCCTTTAGGAAAGTAGGCAAGGCATCCCTGTGCCCTGGCTACTTGAGGGGCAGTACCATGTGTTTCAGTCAATCAAGGACAGCACCTGCCATGAGAGATTCCCAACTGGCCCCAGTTGGCCCGAAGTTGAGGACAGTGAGGTTCAAGTCAGATTCCCGAAGCTCGTGGTTGGTGGTACATTTTGCCTACTGGGAGGAATTTTGTATGAGGGCCTGTCTTATTACAGTAGCCTGCTTCTGAACAGTCTGACCTTTTTTAAAAATATATTTATTTTTTAGTTGTAGTTGTCAATACCTTTATTTTACTTATTTATATTTATGTGGTGCTGAGGATTGAGTCCAGGCCCCACACATGCTAGGCTAGCGCTCTACTGCTGAGCCACAACTGCAGCCCCCAGTTTCACCTTTTTATCATTTACATTAGAGTCTGAGAATTTCCTGAGATCCCCTGACATTCTATTGCCTTATGTTGAATTAGCTACAGCCATTCTCAGCTAGATTGGATTTTTATTTATGCTTAAACAGCTCTATTGAGATATAACTATATAACATACAATGTACCATTTAATGATTTTAGGATAATCTCAAGGTCGTACAACCCTCACCACAATCTAATTTTAGAACATTCTCGTCTTCTCACAAAGAAGCCCTATACACATTTAGAGTTATTTTCCTTTCCTTCCTCTTCAGCCCTTGGCAATCACTAATCTACTTTCTGTCTCCATGAATTTACCTATTCTGGACATTTCATATAAATGGAGTCACTCAGTATTTGTCCTTTGTGTCTGGCTTTTTTCACTTAGCTTAATGTTTTCGTGGCATATTCATGTTATAGAACATATAAGTGCTCTGTTGCTTTTCATGATTGAGTAATATTCCATTGTATAGATAGAAAGCATTTTCTTTATCCATTCATTGGTTGATGAACATTTGGGTTGTTTCTACTTTTTGGCTCTTGTGAGCAACACTGCTAAGAGTGTTGGACTAAAGTTTCACCCCCTAGGCCTCTGTGTTTGTTGTAGTCCAAGTTCATCAATAATCTGCAGAGGTATTGACAATGTTAAGACAGCATTTTTGTGGGGACATGTTTTTGTTTTCCTTGGATGTATACCTAGGAGTAAAGTAGCTAGTTCATACGGTAACTTCCAAACTGTTCTTTAAAGCTGCACTGTTTTACGTTCCCACCAGAAATGAATGAGGGTTCCAGTTTCTCTATATCCTTGTCATTGTCTGTCTTTTTTTGGTAGCCATTCTAGTTAGTATAAAGCGGTTTCTCATTGTCATCTTGTTTGCATTTTCCTGGTAGTTAATGTGATTGCACATCTTTTCATGTACTTATTGGTTTTTTTGTATCCAGTCTTTATGTCCACAATTCCCTATCCAAAACTTTAGCAGACAGTTGGGCATGGTGGTATACATCTGTAATCCCAGTGACTCAGGAAGCTGGGGCAGGAGGATCACAAGTTCAAGGCCAGCCTCAGCAACTTAGCAAGGCCCCATGCAACTTAGTGATATCCTGTCTCAAAATTAAAAATAAAAATGACTGGGATGTGACTCAGTGGTAGAGTACGCCTTGGTTCAATCCTCAACACCTAAAGGAAAACCAAAAAAAAAACAAAAAAAACAAAAAACCTGAGGAGTCAGATGGAGTTCAGAATTCTGAACTTTCTGAAGTTCATTTAAATTACAAGTTTTCTCAGATATGGAAAGGTAGCATAATTTTTATTCTCTAAAATGTTTAATATTCTCAGTAGCATCCCACAATCACACTCTTCAATATTTCTACTGCAAAAATACAATGATTGGACCTAGATGGGATTAAAATATATGATCTTATGTGATGTCAAGTCATTTTTTGCCCCCCAAAAAACACTTGTTTTCCAGAACTTTTGGATTTTGGAATTACAAAGGAAGGACCAAGCCTCTGTACATGTCCTTGGGTTCCAGCTAGGACAGTGAGATAGTCATCATCTGGATGCGCCATCGCTTGCTCCATGACCCCTATGAGCACTGTCCTCTTTAGCGTGGCCCCTTAGGAATGCTCCTCAAAGTCCAGCAGGGAGCAGAGTCCAAGGACAGAGCCCTAGGTAACATCTCCTCCCTGACCTGATTTTTCTGTTGCCCCATGCTGGACTAAAGAGGCATTCTCAACATAGCACCACATTGCCTCAGGATGGTTGGGGTTACCTTGCTTCTCCAGAGACAGAGGGGCAGCCAGCGAGATCTTCAAGAGAAGGGTATAGAGAGGTCATGATACCTAGTGCAGGGCAGGTACTAATCCCTGCACACATATCCTGATATCTCCGTTGCATTTTCCAGACTCCAACTCTAGCTGTAGAGAATGGGGAGGGTTAAATCTGACAAATCAACAAGAGGTTAGGGCTAAGGGTCATTGAAATGCTTGGTCTTCTTCAGCCTCACTGTATCCTTTAAAATGCTATCAGTCTGTGGTCTCCCTACCTACAGTGGGCCTACGGGGACTTCCTTTGAGAAAACAGATTATAGCTCCTTAGCTATCTTACTGTGAGATATTCTGTCCCAGAATGTGGAGAGGGGCTCTCTGTCCTTCCCCAACTCTACTCCTAAGCCATGGTTATCTGCTCAGAAAGAGTCTGTTGCTTAGAACTAACCCCATGATTTTCTGAGGTGCTTTGAGCTAGAGACCACCGAGGTGATCTCAGGAAAAGGGAGTTGGTTATAAAAGCAACCAGTGCACAGTGCAGACAAAGATAGTGAGCAGGTCTCCACTTGCTCCTTTCTGCTCTGGCCCATCCACCTGCTGCCCAGGTGCCCATTCCTTGCTCCTTACTCCATGTTTCTAATTCAAATAAGAATGGTTCAATCTGGCTTGCCTTTTGATGTTCTTACTCTCCAGGAAGGGAGGTAGAGATGGAGGAGGGGCAGATGGGGGTTCCATGAAATAACTAACAACTCTTACAAGTGCTTTCCTCAAAGGCAGGAAAGATTGATTTCTCAATTTCACTTGCCCAGGATCAGGGACTGAAAAACAATTTTTACTAGGCTTCTTTTCCTCCATGAGAACATCTATCTGACGTCTCCAGAAGGAGATAGCCAACAACAATGGTTTTGAAGAGAAATCAACCCTCTGATGATGTTTCCTTATTGCTTTGTGTAGTTCATGATTTTGCCCTGATAAGCAAAAAGTAAACAAAGTTCCCAGGTGCTTTCTACGAAATGATTCTCCTGTCGTGCCTGTATTCTCTTGCCTCTTCAGGTTGGTAGAAGGAGGAGAGAGGCCTGTAGGCAAGCTCTTTGGCTTGGGAGGGAAGGAGTCCTATGGGCTATGGTTGGACACATGGGGTCAACTCTGGAGATGGTCCACAATGTTGGGCCCCATTCTCATGGGTCTCCTTTCCTATTACCTCCAGGTGCGTGGCTTTGCTCTTCCAGCTGTCTCTGCCATAAGGTCCCATTACTGACTGCAGTGGTCCTAAGTCCACGGGCATCTGATGGATTCTTCACTCTGGGAGATGACAGCAGTTAGTTTCTAGTTAAAACCCCACTGCAATCATTTGCAAAGCTTTTAACAAGCTTTGGCTTCATTTCCTAACATTCTGAGGAGTCTGCATAATCTACTTTCAACCTAAAAACACTTAGAATCTTTCCACACAAATGATCCACATCCCCCCTCTCATTCTAACTAAAAGGCAGAGTCCTTAGAAAGCATCTAGGTGGTTTAAAGTACTGGGTTCCTGTACCAAACACATCTCCTATATTCCAAAAGAGGTTGTCATAAAAGAGTAACACTGTTCCCTCCCTGGCTACTATCTCACCATGGGATCTCTCCTCAAAGGTGTTCCTGCCAAGATTTCATCCACCATGATATGACACAGCAAGGTGGAATTTTTGCTTCCAACACTGTGCGCTCAATAAACTTCTTTTCTTTATATTTAGACTCAGGTATTTTGTTATAGTAACAGAAAACAGACTAAAACAAGTTTTAAATTCTGGCCAGAATCTCCTGGACATTTTCAGAGGATGTTCTCACATCTATTTATTCTTACAACCATTCATGTTATAATTCTCCACATTCCTCTGGAATGTTTTTCTTTACCTAACTCACCCAAACAATATTCATAAGGTCAACATGTAATCTTTCCTTAGAACGAGTTTCATTAGAAAATTTGGAGGACTAGTTAAATATGTTAGCTCATGCATTAGTTATAGCAAGGTTGCTATAACTGTAAGTATAATAAATTGGGCAGCTTAAAGTAATAGAAATTTATTGCTTCAGTGTTCTGGAGGCTAGAAGTCTGAAATCAAGTGTAGGTAGAGCCATGCTTCCTCTAAAAACTGTAGGTGAATCCTTCTTTACTTCTCCCTTGCTTCTGGTGGTCTTCTAGCAATTTTTAGTATCCTTTGGCTTGTAGATATATTGTCCCAATCCTCCATCTTCACATTACATTCTTCCTGCATGTCTCTGTCTTCACACGGCCATCTTCTTACAAGGACTCTAGTCACATTGAATTACTGTAGTATGACTGTAGTCTTAAATAATTACATCTTGCAATGACTCTGTTTTCAAATAAAGTTGCATTTTAAAGTATTGGGGGTTAGTCACTTTTTAAGGTAAAAAAATGAAGTGTTTTTTTTTTTTTTTTAAGTTGGGCATAGGTTTGGTAAGAAGGAAAGAAAGTATACTGATGTACATGCTGAAGTGTCTGAGTTAGCCGTCGTTCCACATTTCAGTTTATGCCTTTGGGCTCTAGGCACATGAGTACCTGTGTAATAATGGCAAAGGATCTCTGCATCTTGTAGCCAAGACATTGAACATGAAAGATGTGAATAATATAATACAGTATATGATTAAATGCTAAAATGATGCTGCTGCAGAATCCAGAGATAGGAAAGATCAATTTGAGTTATGTAGGAGCTTCATGAAAGGGGATGAAATTTGAGCTGAATTTTGAAGGTAGGGTAGGATCAACAGCAGCTGTCATGAAACCCTGTTTAGATCCCTTGCACATGCTTAGATGGAGGAAGGAAAAAAACCCTGTATGCAGCCTTTTTCTCTTATTGCAATCTGGGTGAATATACACGTGTGTCCCACACTTGCACACAAGTCTTCAGTACCACTTTTTGGGGCTGACTACCTGAGATAGAAGAATTGGCCAGAATCTTGTCTTAAGACTAGAGCCCTGTTTTTGCCCAAATATACACCAACTATCCCTACCCACCCTGATCCCCAACACCCTCAGTGGTTATTACACACATTCAGTTACTTTCTCCTTCAGGCTCACTTTCAACACCCCTTACCCTCACACTCACCCTCCTCCAACATGGGCTAGGCTTTTTTACTTGCCACTTCCCAGGTACCACCAGCAGGGTATTGCCAATCTTTCTATGGTAGCTTGCTATCCAATCTGTCCCTCCCCTCCAAGCAATTTTTATTTTTTCAAATTCTTGACTTTTCTCAACCATTTTATTTTGGCGGCAGTGAGGAGGTTCTGTATTCACAATCCAAAAAACAGGGTTATTATGGAAGGGATGCAAAGAGAAATAGGTTGGCACATGGCTTCTAAGTTTTAAGAGATACTTTTGTAACCTATGGCAGACAGAATAAGTGGAGGGAAAAGACTGTATTACTGGGGATGGAACCCAGGGCCTTGTGCATGCTAGGCAAATATTGTACTAATGAGATATATCCCAGCTCTTTCTTAAATTTTATTTTCAGGCAAAGTTGATTAAGCTGCCCAAGCTGGCTCTGAATTTGCAATCCTCCTGCCTCAGCCTCTTGAGTAGCTGAAATTATAGGCATGTGCCACTGCACTCAGCAAAAGATTGTTGAACATTAAAAGTTTTCTCTTAAAGAGCACAAAGGTTATGCTGAAAACAGTAGAAATGGAAGAAAGCATTGTGAAGCTGGAGTGAGGTTCCCCTCCTGTCATTCACATATCTCTATCTATCTATATTTTTTTTCATTTTTCAAATTTGGGTTGGTGGTAGAGATGGAGAGCATTAAACCCCAACATGACTCTGAGAAAGGCTGTCCCTAGCTAGGCTTGAGGGATCTGAGAGCAGAGATCTTGTTCTTTGTTTCTAGGTCTGGGCAGGCTGGGGTCTGAGCATGCCTGTGAGCAGCTGAGTATTTTCCAGGGTGGCTGGGAGTAGCTCAGGAGGGGCACTAACTGCCAGCAGACCTCAGAGTTCCCACGGTTGGATGAGGAGCAACCGCTGAGGCATGGCCTTAGCAATGTCCGTAATCAGGAAGGCTGTGGAGTTGGAGGGGCAGGCATGCCAAGCATGAATTTAGGACGCAGGTACAACCTTTCTGTTCCCACTTTGAAAACTTATAGCTGAAAGCTCAGCTATAAGCCTGGGGGGGTGGGGGGTGGGTAAGCAGCAGGGGGAAAGCACTCAAAAAACAAAGAAAAGCACAAAAGTTTGAGTTTTCCCTGAACTAGGATTAAGCGTTCTTCCTCTCAAGGGGAATGTTACCTGGAGACAGAAATTAACCATTAGGAAAAAAAAAATAAGAAAAAGAAACATTATCAACAAACCTGAGTTGACAGTTGGTGAAATTTGGGTCTATTGCTTTTTTTTTTTTTTTTTTTTTTTAAGATATTGACCATCCAGTAAAAAAAAAAAAAAAAAAAAATTCAAACTTCTAATGCTTGGGAGGCTGAGGCAGGAGGATCGCAAGCTTAGCTACTTAGCCCTAAGCAACTTCATGAGACCCTGCTTTAAAATAAAACAAAAAGGGGTGGGGTTGTTGCTCAGTGGCTAGTGCCCCTAGGTTCAAACCCCCCAAAATACATAAACAAAAATAAAAAAATGAAACAATAAAACTTTAAAAACAAAATTTTCTCTTAAATAGATTGATGTTTACTAAAAAAGTTGTGAAGAGGGTCCCCATATGCCCTATACTTGGCTTTCCCTATTATTATCATCTTTTATTAGGAGGGTACATTTCTCACAATTAAAGAAGCAATATTGGTTCATTGTTATTAACCAAAGTCCATATGATATTCCAATTTTCTGATTTTCTTAAGCTTTTATATAACATGGTTTTTGGTTCTGGGATCTCATCAAGAACACTACAAAGTATTTAGTTCTTATATTTTGTTAGGATACTCATGGTTGTGACAGTTTCTCTGACTTTGTTTTTTTTTTTTTTTTCTTTTAGATTTGCTTTCTACACTTACCTGGGCATTTCCAAGTATTTAATTTTTTTAATATTTATTTAAAGATACGCAGTATCTTTATTTTATTTTTATGTGGTGTTGAGGATTGAACCCAGTGCCCCGCGCATGCCAGGCAAGCGCGATACCACTTGAGCCACATCCCCAGCCCTGACTTTGCTTATTTTTGATGACCTTGATAGGCTGGGATTGTGTTAGTCAAGTAATTTGTAGGCTGTCCTTCAATTGGGATTCCTTTGATGTTTTTCTCACTATTAGACAAGAGTTATGGGCTTTTGGGAAGAAGGACACGGAGATAAAATGCCATTTTCATCACATCATATCAAGAATCCATGCTATCAACAAGACTCATTGCTTCTGATGTTCACCTTAATTATCTATCCAAGAAAGTGTTGGTCATGTTTCTCTATTGTAAATGTACTTTTCTCCCTTCCTTTTCATTTTGTATTCTTTTTTTAATTATTATTTCTTTTTAGTTGTTGATCTTTATTTATTTAATGTATTTATATGTGGTGCTGAGAATTAAACCCAGTGCCTGATGCATGCCAGGCAAGTGTGCTACCATTAAGTCACAGTCCCAGCTCCCATTTTGTATTCTTTGGAAGGAAGTTCCTGTACGCTGCCCACAGTCTAGGAACAGGGAGTTTTATTCCATCTCATTCAGGGCACAATATAGACATAATTCTTCTGCATGGGAGATTTGCCTGTTTTCCCCTATTTATTTACTTAATCATTTATTTATATCAGCAGATATTTATTTTATACTCTTGGCTATATTCAAATAGTGTGTTACTTATTTTCTTGTTCAAATTTTCTGGCTTTGGCCATTGGGAGCTCTTTCAATTGGATGTTGTGCTGCTTTGACATACCCCCAACATTCTTGTTAATTAAAACAAAACAAAACAAAACCCAACTTTTTAGGTGGGTGTGGGAGAGAACTTCCTTACCTTCTGACACGGCAGGATGCTCCAGGTTCTTGTTAAATATTTCCTGTCCCAGGATTAGAATCAGCTATTTCCCCCAAGGAGGACTGGTTCCTTTTGTTGAAGAATGGTACTAAAAAGAAGATCTGGGTGCTAACTGTGTTGGTTGTCCTCTGCAGGCCCACTTAGCTGATAGAGCAAGGAGATACATGCATTGTGTTACTACCCTGTGTAAACACATATTTATATCTATCTATAATATCTATAATATATATCTATATCTATCTATCTATATCTATCTATCTATATCTATATATCTGTAGCTCTACTAAGCCAAATAAGAGTTCACACTGATGACTTCAGCTCTGATCCAAGAGCACATGGACCACTCTAGCCTCCTTCTACTGGTCAGTAACAGGTAAGAGACCTGGTGGCCATCATCCACTATTCATTTATTTAATTGTTCATTTCCAGTATATATGTGTAGTATATAGTTGAAAGTTGTAGTTTCCGTGTTGGTTTCCCCAGCATTTGATTGCTTAACTTTTGACACCAACCACTTAACTCTGCTTGTAGCCACAAAACCGGCGTTTTTTAACTCGAATATTCAGCAAACGATGCCTGGCTCTTCCCAAAAGGTGCATTTCCTCTGGTCTCCCATCGTCTTCCCTGCTCGTTTTGGGAGACGGAGCGCAGTGGATCTGGGAGTCTGAGGTCAAGCCGGAGGACGCTCCGGAGATGGGGAGTCCTAGATTAGGAGTCTCAGTCTGAGGACACTGTGGCCTCCGGGACTGGGGCAGATAATCTGTTTTTCACGACCTCTTGGCTCATCCAACAACTCCTGGAGCTCCACCTACGTGCCATTGCCCGCGCTGCGCCAGCGAGGGACACACCAGCCCAGGGCTGGAGTCACCGGGCCCGCGGACGACCTAAGAATGAAAGGGCTCTCTCTAGCTCTGGAAGATGGGGCTCGCGGCGCCGGAGCGAGAGCCCTGGCAGGGGGCGCAATGCCCGGCCTGGGAACGTCAGCTGGGTAGGCAGAGCGTTCTCCCTCTTCCTGAGGTATAGAGCTGCCGGGCGGAGACCTCGCAAACCGAACCCTCCCGCAGCCGCCAACCGGCCCTCTGGGCGTCCCGGACCTGCCGAGCCGACGCTCGGGTCCCTGACGAGACTCACCGGAAATTCCCGAAGCCCCTCTTTTTTTCCTTCCTTTCCTTTCGCTGCTCTCCCCTTTCCTTTCACCCGGGTTCCCTCAGCCGTGATTTCCCCCTCCCCCTCCTTCCTTCCCCATTTGAAACCAAGA